CATAAATACAGAAAACCATATTTTATATTCTAAAAACAATCACGAAGGTTGTGTGTATTTCCATGAAACAATCAGCAATTTATTGAAATGATTAACATAATTGAAAGTGTTTTCAATGGAATGAAAAATGAAAATAACAGATTCAGCATGATGAAAACAACAAATAAGAAGGCGTTTGTGAGAATCATGGCATAATTCTCTTTTTTCTGTAAAACCATAACCCTATGACACAAACAATGCATGCAACACTGAATGCGACAACTACTGGTACGATAATATACAAGTAATTGCGAGACTTTCTTTCTTCGTTTTCTTCAGTCATTTCTGCTGGAGTTGTTACTTCTTGGTCGATAATTGTTGGTTTACTGGAAACATTGCGGGAATTTCTTTGCTCTTCATTTTCATTCGTTTCTGTAGTCACATTCTGAAAAACCAAAACAGTACAATACTTACTCTGTAGTGACTCACAATTATCACGAGAACACGACTGGTTTAATAAAAACAATTATTATTATAACCAACTGTACCAGTGTTTGTTTTAATGTGCTTTTGTTTAACTGTGCTTATTATAGCCATTTTGTGCTTCCATTACCTTCCATGATTGTTCCGCGGTTTTTGGTACTGTTCGCACGTACTCCTGTCTTCTGCTTCCACTTGTACCATTTCTTGGCACGATATCGGTATTCGTTCAATACCACGAGATCACCAACGAAATAAATCTGGTTACGTTCGATCTTCGCCTTCTGATTTATGTGGCACGTGCATTTTGGTAGCGGTGTTCATAGTTAATCTCAACTCGACGCCACGCTACAATTGGTGATCCCAAAGTTTGGAACACGCCCCAACCTCTGGTGAAATCTTCCAAGGAAGCCAATTCGGTGAGTCTATATTTTATCAATCCACGTCTGTCGTATATTTTCATATTAATTTTTAATGTATAATATACACGACATGACGGATAGCAACAAGAATTCTATTAATGTTATAGACTCAGACGTACAGGCCATTCAATTTCGACCTGTATCATTCATCCCCCACGACCCAGAGGTCTGGTTTGCGGCATTAGAGTCACAGTTTTAGACTCGTCGCATTACGAGCCAAAGGCAAAAGTACGCCTTCGCTCTCGAATCATTACCCGGGGACCACTTAGTAGCTGTTCGTGAGGTTGTCCTCAATTGTAACGTGCCTAATGTTTACGATCGCCTCGAAGAGGCAATTCTCCGACAATTCCTCCCATGGAGGGAGGAACGATTGAGGGCATTGTTAGCACGTCACCCCCTGGATGATGCTAAACCAAGCCACCACCTCACGCGCCTGCAATCTCTTGCAGGATCAACAACAAGTGACTAAGAAATAGTTAAGGAATTGTGGCTCGAGTCACTACTAGCGCATATCCAACCCACTGTGACGGCACTGCTCGAGGACTCACCGCTTAACCAGGTAGCCCTCATAGCAGACAAAATTTTAGCGAGGACTAGCAATAAAGACACCTATGTAGTTGCTTCAACGGCACGTCCTAAACTAGACTTGGATGCCGGTCATTCCTCAGCTCATGGCGACAGGGACGGGCTTATTCACACACGTCTTAGTTTTCCAGACCGTTGTAACGTACCCCAACCCTACGTCCCCCGAGCTCGCTCAAGTTCTCGCAAACGCGTCACCACGCGACTACGCGCTGCGAATGGCTCAGTCATTCCTACCTACGGTACACGACAACTCGCGATCAACCTGGGCGACCGACGACGGTATCTGTGGACGTTAATCATTGCTGATGTTCCCACAGCTATACTAGGTATCAATTTTCTGCAGCACTATGAATTGCTTGTCGATTCACGTAGGCTGCAGCTAATCGATACTTCGTCGAACAGCAAATTCATGGGCTGTAAAGCCCACATGAACGCGTACCGAATCCTCGGCACTTTTTACTCGCGTGACGATAAATTCCACGCCTTATTCGAGAAATTCCCCGTACTCACTAAACCACTCGAGGAGCTTCCATCGGTGACCAATCGTGTGGTACACCACATAGTCACCCGCGGACCGCCAGTCACGGCACGACCTCGTCGACTGGCACCGGACAAATTAGCTTTTGCTAAGCGTGAGTTTGACAATTTACTAGCTACTGGTATTATTCGTCCTTCTCACAGTCTATGGGCCTCTCCTCTTCACATGGTGCGCAAAAAAGATGGGGTTAGTTGGAGACCATGCGGCGACTACCGAGCTCTAAACGTAGTTACGCGCTTTGATAGCTACCCCATCCCCCACATACACGACATCAAGGCATCGCTCAAGGGCACGACTATCTTTTCTAAGATCCATCTGGTACGAGCATATCATCAGATCCCAGTCGCTCTTGAAGATATCGAAAAGACTGCTATCACGACTGCTTTCGGTTTGTTTGAGTTCCTACGAATGCCATTTGGATTACGGAATGCTGCTCAAACTTTTCAAAGGTTTATCGATAGCATTGTACGAAACCTCGATTTTGTTCACGTCTATATTGATGACCTGCTAATCGCATCATCAAACGTAAATGAACATTATCAACATCTTACGCTATTATTCCAACGCCTTTCGGATAATGGAATAGTAGTTAACCCAGACAAATGCGAGTTGGGTAAACGAGAAATAATATTTCTGGGTCATGTTATCAAGCAAGAGGGTATTCTACCTTGTGAGGACAAAGTGCAAGCAATAAAGGAGTACAACGAGCCATCCTCACTCAAGGAACTGAAGGCTTTTCCCGGTTTGGTTAACTTCTACCGTCGTTTCATCCCACACGCGGCTGAACGGTTACGACCACTAACCGACTTACTACGCGGCAACCCACGCAGATTGGAAATGAACGATTCTGCATGTACTGCATTCACTGAAATCAAAACGCTTTTGGTCGCGAGCTGCTAGCAGCCTACTGCGCCATCAAACATTTCCGGCACGCAGTAGAAGGACGTCAATTCATCTTATTCACCGACCATAAGCCTTTAACGTATGCTTTGCATACCAAGTCTGACCGCTACTCACCACGAGAGTGCAGACATTTGGACTATATCTCCCAGTTCACGACAGACCTTCGTCACATCCAAGGCAAGTCGAACTGCGTTGCCGATGCTCTATCACGAATCCAAATGAATGCAGTTACCCTGCCGGTGCTCGATCTTCCTGCTATGGCCGCTGCCCAAGCAAACGATCCCAGTTGTACAAAAGCACCACACTCTACGTCCCTTCAGTATCAGGAAGTACCTCTAGCCACGACTTCTGGCACCATTCTATGTGATACGTTCACCGGTATTCCTCGACCCATCGTACCCTCTGCTTATCGCCGTCTCGTATTCGATGCCCTGCATGGATTATCTCACCCAGGTATCGCAGCTACATTACGCCTCATCGCTGCACGATACGTCTGGCCGTCCATGAATAAAGATGTTCGTATGTGGGCGAAGCAATGCTTACAATGTCAACGATCAAAAGTGCACAGGCACGTAGCCGCCCCCCTCGGTACATTCGCTACGCCTGATGCTCGCTTCGATCACGTTCACTTAGACATTGTAGGACCACTGCCACCATCGCACGGGTATGATCACATACTCACGTGCATCGACCGCTTCACCAGATGGCCCGAAGCTATACCCATCACGTCTATCACGGCGGAGACAGTTGCTCACCGCTTCGTAGAACGATGGATAGCTCTATACGGTTGTCCCTCGACTGTCACGACTGACCGAGGACAACAATTCAAGTCCGCACTATTCTCCTCACTTACTCGGCTGCTTGGTACGGAACGCATACGCACTACCGCCTACCATCCACCTTCAAACGGTTTAGTTGAAAGGTTTCGCCGTCAACTTAAAAGTGCTCTTCGAGCACACGAAAAATACGACTGGTACGAAACTTTACCGCTCGATCTACTAGGTATTCGAACGAGCTTGAAGGCAGATATCCAATGTTCCGCCGCTGAACTTGTATACGGCACGACATTGCGTCTGCCCGGGGAATTCTTCAGACCACGGAGCAGACCTGATTGCGGTAAATCAGACAACGTCCATCGACTGTCTGCATTTATGCGAACGCTGTCTCCGGTGTCAACTCGAATACAACATCGACAGGTCGCTCTCCCTCGAGAGTTATCTACCTGTTCACATGTTTTTGTACGAGTAGATTCGGTACGCATAGTTAATCTCAACTCTACGCCACGCTACAACTCAATATCGAACATTTACCAAATCAGTTTCAGTGTTTTCAGTAGTTTGCCTCAATTCATTTCTTAAGTCAGCGTCATTTACTGTTGAAGTTGTTTGTTTTTCTGCGATAAGTGCTGGTTCTCTAGAAACGTCGACAATCGAGCTCTTCAGAAGAATGAAATAGTGGCAATATAACCAAATATAAAATATTTCATCATCCAATACACAGTATTTTCAGTATTGTTGACACAAGTGAATTCAACTAATAGTTACATAATTTACTTCTCTACTGTGTGATCAATGAGTAATGATTTAAGATATCTGCTACTGATTTGACAGTCAATGTGATAAGTACACATTATCCTACAATCAACAAACGACTAATATTTGTGTGATGAAATCTGTTTCCTGGATGTCATAACTTATCACAATCTCAATATCAATCAACAGACTTATAACTCTCGGTTTTATTGATGCTGTTCATACAGAACACACATTTCACAACAAGGAATCAGAAATACGTATTCTGAATTTGAACTATGAGAGTTTTGGTAACTTGAACTATTCACTCAATCATGCTACACAATTTTCAAAAGATTACGCTTTATCATTCAAACTGTTTTCATCGGTATTTTTCAATAGTTTCCGTAGATTTACGGTTTCATATTGGATATCGGAAATCCGTTCACATTCTATGAGCTGAAAAATTGATATGTTTCCAGGCATCAGTGTTAAACAATGCAGTGAAATGTTCTTCCGAGTAAATAGATTTACAAATATGCGGATACTGAATACAAACTGTGAAGTCTACCGATTACTTACTTTATTTCGGCAACCATTGACTTTGAAGTTGTGAGTATCGTTATCATTACTGGTAATGCACATATTGGCATGTTCACACCATATACACGTTTTGTTCGGTGTTGTTGCGCCTCTACATAATTTAATCGACTTGTGTTCTGGACAATCTTTGGTGAATATAATAAGGTGACTGCATTTCAATTTATCAAGCAAAACATCAGTGAAATACAAAACATGTAACTATAACTCAATGACATGATGGTAATTTCGCAGTTGAGTGACTATTTCATTCAGTGTGAGTTTGTCATCATATTGCGCAATGCGAAATTCAGTGCACTTTCAATCTCATTCACATTTCACAACATCATGTTGATGTTGAACAAAACTACGTTCAATAATGAACGATGAGTTTTGACGAGCAAATTTCGTGGATTTCATTGACTGTGAACTCTCAGGAATGTACATACTGTGCTGTCAAGCGTTCAGCAAAGCGGCTAAAAGGATTGTGGAAGAGGGCACACGCTTCGAAAATGGTAATTTTGTAGTTCCTAAACCATGGAAAGTGAACCAAAATATGAAAGGAGTAAATTATGAAGTGGCAAGCAGTAGACTACAGAGTTTGAAGCGTAGATTGTTGAAAGATGACATTCTGTATATCAAGTATACAAAAGGTATTGAAAGTAATTTTATTAAGGGCTATGCGGAGATCCCTGAAATACAATTGCAACCTAGTTATCGCCCCCTTTGGTACTTGCCTCACCATGCAGTTATAAACCCGAAAAAGCCAGAAAAACTGAGAGTGGTCCTTGACTGTGCCGCCAAGTTTGCGGGTGTTTCTCTAAATGATATGATTTATCAAGGACCCGACACAACTGCTGAGTTAGTGTGTATATTATTGCGTTTTCGCAAAGAAGCAATCGCAGTCTCTGCGGATGTTGAAGAAATGTTCATGCAAGTGAAGGTCCCTGAGTCTGATCGAGGAGCTTTAAGATTTCTGTGGTGGCAGGGGGAGACATGTCGAAAGAACCATCCGAGTTTCAAATGACATCTCATCCATTTGGCGCCATATCATCGCCGTTTTGCGCGAACTTTGCCTTGAATAAGACGGCCCAAATATTCTCTGACGGTTATGATGGTTATGTCGTAGATGCTGTTAAGAATAATTTCTATGTTGATGATTGCTTGGTATCTTTTCCCACTTGTGATCAAGCAAAGAGTTTCGTTAAGCAGATAAGTGAATTATTATGTAGAGGAGGTTTCAAACTAAAGAAATGGGTTACCAACTCGGAGGAGGTAAGGACCATCTTGCCTGATGTATGTAAAGAACAGTCCTTGATAGAAATGTCAACGGATTACGACACTACTCATCGAACCCTAGGTGTAGAATGGGATTTTAAACAAGATGTATTTAAGTTTTACTTTGATGCACCGGAAAGGCCTCTGACTAGGAGAGGTATTCTATCTATAGTTTCTTCTCTGTTCGATCCTCTGGGTCTAATTGCTCCAGTCTGTCTTACTGCCAAACTTCTCTTGCAAAAATTATGTAGGTCCCAAATAGGCTGGGATCAGCCTCTCAACGAGCCATACATGTCCGCGTGGCTAGGCTGGGTAAGTTTTATGCGTCAGATAGGTCACGTCACGGTAGCTCGAGGTATCAAGAGGAGAATCGACGAACCCGACGCGAAAGTGGAATTGCACTTGTTCAGTGATGCTTCAGAGGTTGGTTATGGAGCAGTTGCGTACGCACGAGTCAGCTATTTGAAGAAGCCACCATATTGTATCTTGTTGTACAGCAAGTCTAGGGTAGCACCTATCAGACAAGTCACTATACCGAGACTTGAGATGGCGGCAGCGGTGTTAAGTGTGAGGCTTAGTGAAGTATTACGGAGAAGTCTGCCTAATTTTTTCTGCGAAGTAAACTTCCATACAGATTCCATGATAGTGTTATACTACATTAAGAATATTGAGAACCGATATAGCACCTATATAGCCAACCGCCTCGCTGTGGTGCACCAGTATACGAAGGTTGAACAATGGAATTATGTAAAGTCGTCACAGAATCCAGCTGATTGGACATCAAGAGGTATACAAAAAATGACTGATCTGGAATCTTGGTTCAAATGTCCTACCTTACTGCATGGCGAATTCTGTACAACAATCACTGACTGTCCGGAACCTACTCCTGACGATATTGAGTTTAGAAAAACTGCTGTGGTTAACTTGAGTAGTATAAAGCACAACATGTCACCTATTCTCTCTTATTACTCCGAGTGGTTGAAATTAGTCAGGGCCGTAGCCTGGCTTAGAAGGTTCATAGAATTTCTGATGGTGCTTCGTTCACCGAGTCATGAAGGATCCGTTCATCTAGGATGTTTAAAGGTCAAAGAACTTGACATCGCCAAGCGTAAAATTTTGTTGATGGTTCAGAAAGAAGTGTATGGAGAAATACTTAGTGGATTTAAAAACAATGGTAAAGTAGTTAGTCACAATGATCTGAAGGGCTTATCACCGATAATGCTTGATGGGTTACTCTGTGTTGGAGGCCGACTAAGCTACTCAGATTTCTCAAATGCCTTTAAACATCCAATAATATTGCCCAGTCGACACTTAGTGACAGAAATGATAATTAGACATTATCATAAGGAACAAGGGCACACAGGAACGTCACAAGTACTGGCCACGATTCGAAAAAGGTATTGGATAATAAAAGGAACCAGCACGGTTAAGAGAGTGATAGGAAAGTGTGTGACATGCCGGCGGTATACGATGGTTACAGGGCAACAATTGATGGCACCACTTCCAGCTTGTAGAGTGCAACAAGGATGGTATAGCTTCTCAGCCGTGGGAGTAGACTACTTTGGACCCTTTTTGTCAAAAGAGGAAGATCATTAGAAAAAAGATATGGATGTGTGTTTACTTGCTTGCAAACCCGAGCAGTACATATTGAAATGACACATAGTTTGAATACTGATTCGTTTATAATGGCCTTGTTACGTTTTATTGGAAGAAGAGGGAAACCTGCCGAAATTTACAGTGACAATGGGTCAAATTTCGTGGGTGCGGTCTCTGAATTAAGAAGATTTGTGCAACAGTTGAATCAACAGAAAATAGACAAAGAACTGTCAGCTAGAAAAATTCAGTGGCATTTTAACCCGCCCTCATCCAGCCACAGGGGTGGAGTTTGGGAAAGGATGATTAGGTCCATACGCCGACTGTTATTGTTGATAACTAGAGAGCAGACTCTAACCGATGAGACTTTAAACACTTATTTGATCGAGATTGAAAGGATATTGAACGATCGACCCTTAACTCCGGTCGTTCAAGATGCTAACGATAAACTAGCCTTGTCGCCAAATAGTTTGTTATTATTGAGAGAATGGGACGGAATAGTCGAAGAAGGTAGCATCAGAGATAAATATGACAAACGTTGGAAACAGGTTATTCATCTTGCTAATGTGTTTTGGAAAAGGTGGTTAAGAGAGTATTTACCGTCCCTACAAAAACGTCAACAGTGGCTAGTTGAACACCGCAATTTTCAGAAACGGGATGTAGTGATCGTAGCTTCGGACATATCGACTCGTGGAAAATGGCCCTTAGGAGTAGTTGAAGATTGTGAAATAGATGACGACGGAAGAGTTAGAACAGTGGTTGTTCGTACGAACGGTGGATTATTCAGGAGAGATATACGTAGATTATGCCTCCTTGAAGGCTCGAATTAGTTCCTCGTGTTATTAATGTAGTTAGGTTGAGTAGGCGTACTGTTGTAAGTCCTACTCGTTCCTATGGTGTGACATGTTATATAATGAACCATGACCATAGGCATCAAGGTAGCTTGTGTGGTATGGAGGGATTTCGGGGGCCAGTGTAAGATCCATTTTGAATGTTTTGTGTGTTGGTGAAAATCACTCCATGTATATACTTGTACTTTATTCCTATTGATCACATTAGTTGTACATTGTTGTATTTTGATTACATTTGAATTGTTAATATTTGTATTTTTTGTTATAGTTTTTGTTTTTATTACGCATTCACTAAGTTTGTGTTTCTTCCTGAACTGCAACTGCGTTGTTTTACTTGACACTTGTTCTTGGCGGTAGCCATATTGATTTGTTCTTCCTGTTGTGTGTGATCCATCCAGTCAGGATAGAATAACGTTCACTTGTTGTGACTGATTTAATTGATTGAAAAATCATTGGTTGAACAGCCGGGTGATAATATTTGTTTAGAACTGTAGAATCCAAACTTCGGTTTGGATGTTGAAGAATAGCCTTCCACGACTTTAGACACGCGCTATTTACCCGATTACTTGTTCTGATTTCGACGGGAAAGGGCGCGTGTCTAAAGTCACGAAAGGCTATTCTTCAACATCCAAACCGTAGTTTGGATTCTACACCGAGGTTTTTTCGGTGAAAGAAAAGCCCCGAACGACTCAGGATGACATAACCCAGTCATGTCATACACTTACGCGTTATCTTAATTTTCTTAACGACCGTAGGCGATCACAGACCCCACGTAGAAGCACCTCACGTGAGCGATCTGTCTCTAAACCACGAGAGACGGATAACCCCGACTGGTGCTTGTATCATAACCAGTATGGAAAGTCTTCCAGAAATTGCAGAAAACCCTGCAATTTTTCCAACTCAAAACCGACCGATCCGAAAAACGACTCGGGAAACTTTCAAGACGGCACGCGTTGACGGCAACCGTGGCCGGCGAACATAGCCGTCTGTTGTACGTCACAGATGTGACAACGAGAGTTCGCTACCTCGGCGACACTGGTGCAGACGTTAGCGTTCTCCCAGCGAATTCTAACGACTGACTTCACGAATTGACTCTAAGCTTACAGGCGGCAAACGGAAAACCGATCGTTACCTATGGCAAAAGGCACATTTACTTTAACGTGGGTTTACTCAAACCCATTCACTGGATTTTCGTTGTTGTAGATGTTTCTATTATTGGTATGGACCTTCTACAACACCATAGTCTAATCATCGACACGCGCAAACGGAGGCTAGTAGACGGAAAGGCTATTTTATCCGTTTGCGTAACTAACTTTTCTGGTTGAAAATTATCCCCAGCCACAAATAAGCATATGATTGACCCACTCTATCAACCACTACTCGATAAGTACCCTGGGATACAACAAACTCAACCGAAACTACTGTTTG